ATTTATATTGTCATGACGATAAACAAGAGTGAGTGTCAATATTAGAAATTTGATGTTTTCAACTGATATATTTTCAATGGTTTTTTTACCGTAGGAAATTCTGTTTGAATATGCAAATTCCGTTGGAATTTTTATTTCTACCCCGTTGAAAAATCCATTGTTTGAATCGTCAAAATCCAACGGAAATTCCAATGAAAAATTCATTCCAACTGAATATTTGGATTAGCAACAGATTGGTGACAGATGGAGTTCTGTCAAGGTCAACATTTATTGTACGTTGGCATGTTAAGTAATAGATCAAGAAGAGTCAAGGTCAACATTTATTATACGTTGACATGTTGTTAAAGAAACTGATTTTTAGTCACGGACAATTATGTTGTTTGTTACGCATGTAAATAATAAAAAAGTGTTGAAAATATTAGTTTGTGGGGACGACGAGTTGCTCAGTTATTAAACAAATAATGTTGTGTATAAAAAAGTTTAAATAATATATTTTTTTGCATGAGAAACATTTTATGATTTGATAATTTTCCAACGAATTATCATTCTTTTATTTATTAATGCATTTTAATTTTTAATATTCTCCGAAGTAAATACAGTCCGTGCATCGCACGGGTTACATACTAGTATATATAAATAACATATTTTGTCAACTTCTCCAATTCCTGTCCATAAAAAAAAAGCATAGAACTTTCGAAAAATATTAAAAAAAATGAGAGATTTATTTGATACACTCCATGCTATTAATAAGCAATTCTAATTATTGAGATGAAATTTGACGTGGAATCCAATAATTTTTTTGAGATCATCTTTCAAGATCGTGAGGTAATATTTTGATTTGTTATATCTGTATTACTAACATACGTAATTTTTTAATTTAACTTCTTTTGTATAACTTCATATTGTAGGGTGCGCACTGTCATTATACGTTCTGTGTATATGTGTGCATTTCGAGGTGTATTTAAGCAAGGCGATATATATGCACTCAGGAAGTTTTTAATAATGTATAATTTTTTGCCAATGACGATTTTATGTTTACTTTATAAATGTCATACGTGTTATAACAACTTATTAATAAATGACCTTTTAATTTTTTAAATTTTTCCAAAACATGTACTACACTACAAGAAAATGATGAAATTCCAAAGGAAATACATTTCAAAAGAATTATTCCAGCGGCAATTCCAACGGATATTTCAATACTATTATTTCCGTTGAAATTTTTCAATGGATTCCAACGAAAATATTCCGTTGGAATGAGTTTTCCATTGGAATTTCTGTTGAATTTTGACGATTCCAATGATGTATTTTCCAACGGGGATGGAAAAAAAATTCCAACGGAATTTGCATATTCCAACGGAAATTCCTACTGTAAAAAGCCTTTAGAAATATAGCCGTTGGAATCATCAAATTCCATCTAAAATTTCAATGAAAAACACATTCCAACGGAATATTTCCGTTGGAATTTCTGTTGGAACTATTCCAATGGAAGCTATTCCATTGGAATATCCGTTGGAATTTTCATTGGAATATATTACCATAAAATTTTCAGTTGGAATATATCATTTATTTTGTAGTGCTAGCCCGTGCATCGCACGGGTTACATACTAGTAAACAAGAAAGTGACTCGATCTAACCATAGTAAAACTTGGTCAAAGCCCTCACCCAATCAAGTTTTTTTTAATAATTATGAAATAAAATCGATAAATAAATAAATAGAAATAAAATAAAAAA